TGAGAAACGTGACTTTTATGTGTGTGTGAAGCCGACAATTGAGCGGCCCGACCAAGCAAGGAGGCAGAGGCAGAACATCCAAAATATAACCCGGTGTGGGCATTTATTAAATCATAAATATGTATGATGCAGCCTCAATCTGCTCCCCACGTGAACACAGTCACCACAAGAATCTCACACACTTCAGCCTCACCTCCTGCAGTTTGGCCCACCGCTTCTGGGGAGTTGGAGCAGCCGGCGACACAGCCACAGAGCCATTAGCATTTTGAGGGCTTCAATGCTCCTTTCCATCCTCTCTCTGCGGCGGGTGGAGAGCTCCCAGGTGTGAGGGGCAACTTCAGTGTTCTGAACTGAAGGGCCTGGGGCCTGTGAGTGTGTGAATGTTGCAGGTCCTGCAATGGGGTGGAGCTGAAGAGGCCAATCAGTGTGATCGGGGACACCTGGCCGGAGGTGCTATTTAAGCCCAGCTGCCCGGGGTCACAGGGCCGTCATGACTCTCTCCAAGCCTGCTGCGGAGGGACTCCCACCGTGATCCTTTCACCTTGTCCATCCTCTCCTGTTTTTGGTGTTGCCAAATAAAGTGCTGTGATTGTTGGAAACTTTGAGCGTCTCTCCTGGTTTTTCTGTTGTGGCCAACGGGTCGGTCATAACAACAAAGAAATCCTATGGAAGACATCTAAATAAAACAAATACATCCTGACTGTACTTACTGTAAACGTTGTGTCTTTTAAGTGAATTGAAAATGTCAACAAAAAAAAAACGTTTTCCCTAACAGATTTAAAATGTAGTGGCAGGGTTTGGTTCTCCCTGATAATACCTACAACATACAGGCGGCAAACAAGATAAACATTGAAGGTGAAAGGGCCCTTTACAGACAGTAACTAACCTGCTTTCCCCCGCCATTGCTGGGCAGAGTGTTGGAGGACATGGAGGGTCCGGTGGCCCCGCCGCTGCTGCTCTTTCCTGTGCAGTTGTTACAGAGGATCTCCCCCTGGTTTCCTTTCTTCCACATGGACGAAGAGTTTGTCTTGCAGACAGCACAACACGGTTTCAAACCCAGTGGCATCGTTAATGGTCAGGATACTTAGAGGATAAGGCAGAAATGTTTCCTCAACAATGAGATGATGGCTGCTCGCTGCACCAACAACACAGGGATGTGCAGCTTCAAATGGCTCCAAAAGAGATGACGATGTTCGCTTTCTTCTACAGATAGACCTCCGAGGACAAGCTTTACTACTTGATTTAAAGGTATTATCACGACAGTATCAATTTCAAGCTGTATTGTTTATTTTTGCAGCCAAAATACCGCCATTGCTAGCGCCACTGTTTCTTCTTCTGCCTCTTTTGACATCGACTCTTCTTCTGTGGTTTGAGAGGCTCTATTCTAGCGCCACCAATGGACCGGGGGGATCTGTGCATGTGTTGGAGAAATATCAATCATACCTATTAGTAAAGGCATTAAAACATGTTAGATTTGTACTGTTATGTGTTGATGTGCTTCAAATGTGCACTACAGCGCTAGTTCTCATGTTTGGGAATATTCCTTGCCTTCTTGTAATTTGTTTAACTTTTTGCAAAAGATATTCCACGGGATGTATTATTTTCAAGGTGTATCTATGCTTTTAACTGTAAAACCTTGATCTAAAGCTGTCAGACATGCAAAGCAGTAAAAACACATTATTTCCCCTGACATATTTTTTTTAACTTTATAATTTAATTTGTTTTTGTATAATGTGTGTTATAACTGTTGTTTTACTATTGTATTTGTCTTTTTTTGTGAGATGGGAATGTCATCTCCCCTACATTGTTGTTGTATCCTTTATTTGTGTCTCCTGACTGTACTACATAAATTATAAATCAAATACAAGTCCAACCATCTCAATATTGTGTTCGTATACAGTGATTAAGTAAATGTGCTTAGTTACTTTTTACCACTGATTGTAATGAATGAATGCAATTATTCAACGGCGCACAAACACAAACTATTTTGAACCAAAAATATGTTTTTCCTCTCAAGTGACCCCTTTACGTGTCGGCCACCGTACTTTAGCAGCAGGTGGCAGTACTCCAGTAAAACTGCCGCCAACAGCTAAGTAAAACTGAAGAAGAAGAAACTCGTCACTGTTCAAAACAAAAAGTTCCGCCTGTCGGTCTGGCGCCGTGTTTTCATGAAGATGTCTCAAAATACTCCTGACAAAGGCGATGACCAAACGTCCACCAACAAAAAATCCCTTTCCCTCCCGACCTCCAGGGTGAAGCTGATAATGAAGAGCTCCCCGGATGTCTCCTGCATCAACCACGACGCGCTGTTTCTCACCACCAAGGCTACAGTAAGCCGCAGTTAGAGGCTACATCCTCGCTTCACTGAGCACTGCTAACCTACCATTCATCTGCTGCTAACAGGGATTAGCCCGCTGCTGCTAGCTCCCCTGATAACTGTAAACAGTGGTGTCAAGTGACGAAGTACATTTCCTCGAATACTGTACTTAATACCTTTACTTTGCAGATTTGGATTAATGATGTGAACAACACTTAAATTACACCTGTTAACATTCACTAGCTACCCTACAAAGTGATTAAAACGAGCTGCACCAGCACCTATACCAGCTTTGATTCACATATTAATGCTTAACAAATTATTCTCAAAACATACACTTTATTATTCTGACAAGGGTCAATTTACATAATGTGTACTTTTACTTGGGTACTTCAAGTATATGTTGATGCTTATACTTCTGTACTTTTATTTGAGTAAAATTTGACTCTACCAGGGTGAGTATTGCTACACCCTGGTAGTTCTACTCTTTGTACTACTTTACTACACGATCTGAGTACTTCTTCCACCTCTGACTGTAACCTGCAGTTTCCATTCGTGCTCCACTTATTGTGACTTGTGTGTTTTTGCAGGAGCTGTTTGTGCAGCACCTGGCTGTGTCTTCATATACCAACAGAGCAGAGAAAGACACCAAATCTCTTTCATACACCGACCTGGCTAACACCGCAGAGGAGAACGACACTTTCCAGTTTCTCACAGGTGAGACACAGTCACAGCCTGACATGCAGGGACTTTCTGTATCATGTAATGTTGGACACTACTGACCCTTTACCTCTGAAACACTGGTGGAATAACCTGTAACCTCCCAGAACGTATGCAACAGTTTATTAGGTATATGTCTATAATGAGCCTATTGCCTAGAAGATTGATCAGTAATGGAATTTATGGCAAGCCTCATTGATTTTCTGCAGCAGTTTTTTATAGCTGTTTTTTGTAACGCCACATTATACTTATGACAATAATGTATCAGCAATTAGATGCTGAAAACACAGTTTGGCTCCATGCATTGTAACGGTCAGCAGAGTACAGTGGATACATGGTGACTGGCTGTGGCACCAAGTTTGACATAAGTGTAATATTTTTTCTTTTATAGATATCCTACCAAAGAAGATCTTGGCTGGAGATTACCTCAAATCTTTGGAGCAATTGCAAGAAGATGACAACGACGGTGACTTTTAAAGGGAACACTGGCTGCATTTCACGTCTGGACAAATGTTATCAAATGCGCACATCCTGTCATTTATTGAGGGCACTGCAATGCTTTTAAAATACATTGACAGAGTTAAGTTGTAGGGCTCAAGAAAGACGTTAGAGCACATGGGACTGAAACTACAGCCACTAAGGGCAAATGTGAAATCAAGTGAAGACTCAAGAGTTCACGTTCATATACTAGAACACAGAGGAACACTGGAGCTTTAATGTCTAAGATAAATACTTGATGCCATAAATCTAGAATTTAACAATGGCCAAAACAAAGCATACTTAGATAAAGCATAATGCAATCAGTACTCAAGATTTTGAAAATTTTAGTATTTCAGAACAATTTTCTTGAAGGTTTTCTGGTAGCAATGTCTTACACATTTAGTGCTTGTTTTGCATGTGTAACGTTTAGGAGGAGGGAAGTGATATACAAGATAACAACTTGCAGGCCTGTATGGGCTCACTCCATGCAACAGACCAACACATATTGGAAATCCATTCCACACAGCTGGTGCACAGATGTCTCCGTTATCACCGCATTTAATATATGACCGAGTGACTTTTAAGATGCCATCAAACATTGATTTCAAACAAGTGAAATATGCTGATGTTCCTGATTCAAAGTTATAAATAAAAGCTATTTTTTTTAAAGATATTGTCCATGTATTAGTAACGGGCAGTTTATCATAAATACTTGAAAGTAAAAAATACACATGCCGCTTTTTTTTTCTTCACACTATATAATATGTGAATATTTAAAGTGTATATAACACATTCTCCTCATTCATTTGCTCATGAATTGTTTGGATTTGATTTTAAAATAAAGATTCAGACCATCTGATCATTTATGTTGCATTGCATGTATTTACACCACAACCTTGTAGGGTATGAAAATGCTTTTATTAATGTTGAATGAGGATTTAAACAGGTCTGTAACAAGGTGCTCAAGGGACTAACCGTTTTACTAGACGCTGTTAGCAAGACCATGAAATCTTGTGCAAACTGGAATACAACAAACTATTTAACAGCTACGTACATGTTCCTCATATCGGATGGTGTGAGGTTTAGTCTCCTTTATACTGATTTTACCTTTAAGTGTATTAATGACATAAGGTGCATATTTGGTCGACATACAGTCTAAAATGATCCTGGGGATGCATGCATTTGCTACATTGTTAAACAATACATGAACACATAAATAGAGGCAACCAATCCTTGTCAGTGTTGGATGAGCTTGTTCAGTCGAAACTGCATGTTAAGCAAAGTGTTCTCTAAAGTAGAAAAGTGATTCTCCAGGATGTTTGCCATGTGCTCTCTCCCGTGTATGGCGTCCCTTGTGTTGGCAAGATGCTCCTTCATGCTGCAAGAGATGACAAACCACAAGTAAATGTCTAGGACATTTTGACACATATTCACACCGTTTTGCATTCATTTTATCCTATATTCAGAGCTCGCCAAGTAATCAGTTTGTTCTCTCTCATCTCATAGAGAGAAGGCACTGAATTCTTCACAGCCATTTTAGTGCCAGAGTGTTGTCTCAGCCAGATGTCCCAACAGATGACTGTAGGGAAAACACTAGAAACGTCTCAGCTGCTTGTCTGGATGCTGTTACCACTTTCTTTGGCATGCAAGCACTTATTTATGCTAAACAACTAACAAGGATCCAGGGTTCCTGACTGCCTCGCTAACAATGATTTAGGAATAATCCCGCAGCTGGGATTGCATGAGTATCTTCCAAAAATGTTATCAATTTGTCTCTGCACAGTGGAGATTGTAGCTCTGTTTGGATGGACATATGGTTCTAATGTTTGTATTTAAATATAAATATGCAATAGCAGAACGCCAGACCACCCACAGTACTATACAATAAGAAATCAGGGGTTATTTAGTCAGATAATCCCCACCTCTTCAACCTCCTCACCCAAATACTTTCAGGGGTTTTCCAAAGTCTGAGACCGCAGGCCACCCTCAGACAAGGCTTGGAAAAAGACACCCCCAATAATTGAGACAAGATACCTTTATATTGCTGTTTGACAACTTCAGCCTGCAACAAATACATGAAAAGGGTCTCTAGGTTTAGGTCTCAGGCATTTATTCGTTTCTGATTCTGAGAAAACAGCACCAAAAGCAACTAACATGAAACATAACTCTTCAAACTAATCACATACATTTCGGCTCATATATGATCTTGGCAAATTAAATCTTTTTTAAATTAGCCTCCCCTTAATCTGTTTATACCTCCCCTGTCATTTAAAACATACCATATTAATCCATCAAATGAATGTCTGTTTCTCACCTTGTGAGGACCCCCTGCTCCTTCCCCTCCTTCCTGGTCTCCTGCAGAGAGACAAAAACCTTATCTATGGTCTGCATGGTTTCTACAGCACTCAGGTGGTCCGAGTTGATCCCCTGGACCTCCTCTCTGGCTTGGTGTTCGTAGGAGATCCCTCCCTCCTCCACCCCGCTGGTGGTGGCCACAGCCTGCAGGGCGGCCCTGTTCTGCAGAACAAGCAGACGTGACTTGGCAAACTCCTTTGGCCCGACGATGTTATCCCAGCAGATTGCAGAGGATGGTGGTAATAAAAAGCGCTGGGTGCAGTTCACTGGTTTTCCTGGGGTCTCTGTTATGAAGGGGCTATCAGCAGGGAAGCTGTGGAGTAGGTGCAGAAGAGATGATCCAGAGCCCCACTCCAAATCATCAAGATCTGGTTGGCCAGAGGACTCTTCAGGGGAGAAAGTTGGAAGAGGCCCAGCTGCCCCTGCACCCTCTGCTGGGAAACAGACCCCCAGCAGGAGGGAGCAGGACAAGCAAAGCACAGCTCCCTGCAGCATCTCCAGACTGACTGACTGAAACACACACACACACACACACACACACACACACACACACACACACACACACACACACACACACACACACACACACACACACACAGACACACACACATAAACATACATTCACACACACACACACACACACACACACACACACACACACACACACACACACACACACACACACACACACACACACACACACACACACACACACACACACACACTCTCACTGTCTCTCACACAGACACAGACACAGTCACACACACACACACACACACACACACACACANTATTTACCACGACACAGAGTATAGTAGTATAATAGTATAATATATATATAGTATAATATATAGTATAATATAATAGTGTAAACAGTCTTACATGAATGAGTGGACGAACGTCTCAACTCGAGGCGGAGTGAATGCACAATGTTTGAACTAAAATGGCCGCTCGGCACTACCGGGTCAGAGCACGGCATAACCGGGCAGCGACAGCAGTGACGCTGCCCTCTAGTGGCCGGTGATAAACTCTTCAATGTCCTTCTTAAGAGGTTCGGGTCAATCTGACCCGGATACAATACCAGGACAGACAGACAGAGAAAAAAACACACACACACACACACACACACACACACACACACACACACACACACACACACACAAAACTGTATTGAATGGAAAGGCCATCATGACAGAAGCTTTTTTCTATGTTCCAAAATGTAATATGATCTGAATCTAACAAATGAAAGTAAATGCACAATCCTATTCAATTTCAAGACAGACATGTTAGTGTGTTATTATAACATCTGATAAGATTAAAAGTGAGACTTCTCCCTGGTATGAAATTGTGACAATGCAATGCATGCACAATGCGATTCAACCTTCAAAATAAAAGGTGTTACGTTTCAATTAAAGAAAAGAAGGTTCATTGGAGCTACCACCCCACATTTATCCAGCAACAAGATAGATGTTCGGTACAGTTTTTGTATCAACCTCCAAAAGGCTGCAGCATAAATAAAGGCTTTTTTTAAGTTTGAAAATTATATCCGGAAATCTTACTCTCATTTTGGAAGCTTCATGCATCGCCATCAGTACAAAAGTTAAGAAGGCAAAGAAAAAGGATTAAAAGATCATCCACAAATCTTGTTGACTGCAGCCAACACCTTTTACTCATACAAACACACACATAAACATCTCTACATCGATTCAACTCATGTCTAGTGTGTGTTACCTTGCAAAGAAACCCAGCGAAGAAGCAGTCTGTGGAGGGCTGCGACTCTCCTTCGGTGACTGAAGTCGTAGGAAAAAATGAGTCGTTGACTGCAGGCAGCCTATTACATGCGATGTGAATCGCAATTTATTGGCCCGGTAAGGCAGACACAAGAGTATTTTCCGTCAGAGTCTGTGGGGTAATTGGTGGAAACTTACCCCAAACACGTCAAATACACTTGCAGTCTGCAGAGAATGTGTTGTGGCACACAAGTGCAAACAGCTGGGCCTGGCTCAAGGATTTTATGTCTACTTGATCAAATGAAATCAAGTGTCTATGCAGGATGTTGAATTCTTTGTTGGTGAAAGGGTTCATTTCCATCCTTTTGCTCCCCTCAAAACTTCCAAGTCTGTGAGTCTATGAAGGCAGTAGGAGGTGAGATGATCCTGGAATTTATGAGCCATTTTACAATGTCCTAAACAGGACAAGCCAGCCCCAAACTCAAAATGCTCTAAACATATAAACACCATGCAACAATGGTTGTGGATTTAAACAGTTTGTTACCATTTCAGTCATTCCCATAAACATCTTGTCATCCTGCTGTTTGAGACACAGAGGTTTTGAAAAGTATCCACACTTGTTTTGTCCCAAAGATTAATTCAATACATCTGTGTTTATTTAGAGATCCTGTTGAATGGCCAGGGAACGGATTTATGTAGCCCGAGGCTTGCAACCTCCCTGACATAAGCAACAAGGAATGGGAGACGTATTTTGGCACAAACTCTCAAGGGTGGTGTAATGTTAGGGGAGGAATAGGGCGCACATTACATAAATCTGAAAAGATATTCTTGCTTTCATGGACAGACTGTAAAACATGAGCTTTTTTTTCTCTTAATAAGGAGGGGAAAGTTGATCATTTGAGAGGAGTTCAGATACTGGGGCTCTGTTGCAGCCACATGTTGTTTTCAGATCCTGGTAATGACTTTCAAACCATCTGGAAAACAGAGAGAGAAGTTAAGGTTAATATGTTCATTCAGATGAAGAAAATCCCTGTTTGTGGCTCAATGGTGAGGTGTAGAGCAAGAACAATTAGTCACAATGGCAGTTACTCATTACATTTCAAATGAAATAAAGTTTTCTAAACAATTACACTGCTCAACCAATCAGGATATCAACTGCAACACATCAACCATACTAAACAAGGAAAACAGGCTCCACCATGACATCAGGCACAATGTAATGGCCTTAACAAACACATCACATAAAAGCTGTACACGTAGCCTAGACTGATCTCATAAAAAGGCCAAATGTGAATTTGTAATTGCTTTGGCAATATGCCATTGAAAATTCATTAATCGTCTTGTAAAGTCAGTTTTATTTATTTTCACAACTCAAATATTTTCCATGGAGGGCTTTACAGGCTGTAAAACACATACTACTGTTGTAAGACCCCTTGAGTTGAAGAAAAAACATAATTTTTTTTATTTAGAAACTAAGACAAGCAAAAGATGTTGTAGATAAGTGAATGCAAGAATCAGCTATCATGAAGGAACTTTCCTAACTGGTGAAAGAGCGTCGATAGGCTCGAGAAATGTCTTTTATGAACTTGAACAATATTTTTTCCAGTTAAGAAATTGGAATCAAAATGCCTACAGGCCTTGTTGTCATATTAATCCCTCCCTATGCATTTGCTGTGTCTTTGAGCAAACACAATGTTTCTTGAGCGTAGCCCTTTAGCCAGAGAGTCATGGTCTAATTGGAAATCCAGTTTTCTACAGTACACAGCAGAAGTGAGATAAACTATTTACATTTCTAAGTAACCCTATTGAACTGGTAAGTGAACATGGCTTCGTGTTGAGGAATCACCAGTCATAAAGTTTGGCCTAAATAATACATTATGGTCTAATCACTGATGGACAGCACATAAGTGATCTTACAGTGACATCTAGTGGCCAACACCGATAATTGCTTCTTTATTGATGAATACAGCTGTGTCCTTCCATCATTTAAATGAAATTTATCTTTTTTATGACCTTTTATATGGTTATTAGTGAAAACATTGACTAAAATCTAAATAATTATGTGCACATGCAGCCAATAATGCAGTTACATTTGATAACATTCGTGGACATAATGTTCTCACAAAATTCCATCACAGTGCGTGATGGGTTTAGTAGTTAGATCCATGTTCAGGGTTTAGGAGCTCTGTCCATGCCCCGGGTCATGTCAGTGGGGCGGGGACCACCGAGAGGCTCCTCCCTCCTCCAGGCTGCCGTCACCGGGCTGCTGGACCGGAGCGACT